TGCGTCCCCTGGAGCGTCCATCGCCGGAGCGTCCATGATGACACCTCGAGACTAGTGGGGTCCATCTAGTCCACCTCTTGTCGCCCCCCAGCAGGACGCTGGCCGGGTCGTTGACCACGGTGTGCTAGCCCAGGAGGTGGGACCAAGTCATTGCTTTGCAAGTCTCAAGTCTTTGCACTCAAGTCCGAATCAACTCTCAAGTCAAAATAGGCAAAGTCCGAGTCGAATCCAAGTCAAGACTGAAAAGTGTCAAGTCAAGTCCCAAGTCCTGCCGTTTCTGTTTCGACTTTATAATCTTTGGGTTTTGGAGAAAGTATCGAGTCTTGTCGAGTCAAAGGGCTCGAGTCCAAGTGAAGTCACGAGTCATTGATGTTAAAGTCCAAGTCGAGTTGCAAGTCTCTTTACATTTTGTCAAGTCGAGTCTAAAGTCATCAAATTGATGTCATGGGACCAAGTCATGAGACTCGAGTCCACACCTCTGTGCTAGCCTGCCTGGCCCGGTCGGCTGACGCTCCTCCCAGATGTGACAACACCACCGTCAACTTTGGTTTGCTCAACATCCGCTCGCTCACGAGCAAAAGGACATCTCATCCAGGATGTCCTCACCGACTATCATCCTCCTCCATTCGTCTGACTGTCCCCTCCGCCCGTCTCACCACCATGGGGTAAATCTCTACCCCCCGTCTTGAGTAACATCAATTCACTACCACAATTCAAGTCTGCACTTAAAACTCATCTGTTTAAAATTGCCTTCTCTGTCTGATATTCCGCTGTTGCTTTTTAACTTCGTGTTCTTCAAATTTAATGTTTGATTATTTTTTAATGCTGTCTTGTTATCTTTATAATCACTGTAAGGTGTCCATACGGTGACGGAAAGTCGCCTATGAAACAAAATGTATTATTATTATTATTTACAATACATAATAATACATCAACAAATCGTTCCTTCTGTTAATGCTCTATCACAGTGATCGTCAACTTGCGGCCCGTGGGCCAAATCTGGTCCACCAAATCGTCCAATTCCAAGATAAACATCAAATATATACTATAGAAAAACGTGATTTACACGTGCGTGTAAATCCCCTGATCAATTGGCCTTTCCGTCGATGCCTTGCTCAGAACAGACGGAGGTCTAATACTTTACAGCATGTAACTCACCAGCTTTTGAATTTAAGGATTCATTTACTCTCTAACTACGCCTGTCTGCTGTTTGGAGGAGGGCAGATGGCGCACAGTTGATGTTTTTAGGCTGAAACATCTGCCCTGTTGCGTCTGGGAATCAGGCTAATAGGAAAAGTGAAAAAAAAAAGCTACGGGCTGAAACTAAACGTCGAGCAGGAAGGCGCTACAAATCACAGCGAAAACTGTGGGGACTTGCAGACTGTTCTCTGCGGAGTTATTGAGAGGCAAACATTAGCATAAAAGCTGTCATCGCTAAGGGCAGATGTATGTTAATGTTCTTCAGACACTTGGTAAAAACGGAGTCTTTATAGTCTATCTGGTGTTAACAGCGCACAGGCCGTTACATCAACCCACCAGCGCGCAAATAATTTAAATAAACATCCAGATAAATACAGCTTATCTGCCCACAGGCAGCAGGTCCGGGACCTTTTCTGGAGTCAGACCGTCGCGCTGACAAACACAAACAGTGGCTTATCTGGCTATAAAAAATGGCAATCTCAGTACCTTCAGGACAGCGACAGCCAGGCTGACATTCGGCGTTGCTCTGGCACTCTATGCCCTGCTGAAGGTCTGCGCAGCGCTGCGGACACTGGTTGGCGCACAACACAAACTCCTGGCCCGGGGGGCAACCTGTCTCGTCTAAAACAACACAGGGAACTTTTTAAAGACCAAATATTGGCTCCAAGATGAATTCATTTACATTCATCCGTACACAGAACAGTGAGAATTTCGTTCTCACCGCAGGGTTTGGTGTTGCACGGTTTGACCTGGTTCTTCTCCCCGTCGCACTTTTTCCCGCCGTTTTTGGGCGGAGGGCTTGAGCAGGAACGGGTGCGTATGGAGCGGCCGCCACCGCAGCGTTTGTCGCAGCGGGACCAAGGACTCCACCTGGACCATCCTCCGTCCACTATAACAAACAAACACACTTGCTCAGACGCAGAAACTTTTTTTTTTTTCTCATAAATTTGAAGCATGTCGCACATGAAGAAGAAACAACTGAACAGGTATTCAGGGGAAAATAAGCTAAAAAAATGTTTTAAATTATTTAAAACCATGTATTTATTGCTATTGTGTTTATATACCTTTTCAGGTAATTCATTTTTTAATTACAATTATTATTATTACTGATAATAATAATAATAATAATAATAATAATAATAATAATAATAATAATAATAATAATAATAATAATAATAATAATAATAATAATAATAATAATAATAATAATAATAATAATAATAATAATAATAATAATATAAAGTATTGATAAAAATTAATAACATTTTATAATTTTTTTATTAATAAAAAAGTTATATCATGTTTTCATAAAAGTGATAATCAACTAGTGGCTCATGTACCAAATCCGGGCCGCTGACGCGTCCAATCCGGCCTACAACTGGATTCCAAAGTCAACATCAAATAGTAATATTACATAAAAATGTGATTTTTTTTTTCATTTTATTTGAGTGTCTGGTCCCCAATGTGTCTGTCCAGCAAAATTCTAGACTCCCAACAAATATAGTTGGTGACCCCTGTAACTGCTGTAACTGACCTCTGCAAGGCTTGATGTTACAAAAGCGTTGCTCCTGGTTCCCCCCGAGGATGTCTTCACACCACGAACCGTTGGTACCAGGGGAGAGAAAGGTTCGGATCCTTTGCTGCTGACCGACGCCGCAGGATCGTGAACAGGAGCTCCACTCCCCCCACCCTGTCCATGTGCAGTTCCTCTCTGCACAATCAGGTCCGACGCAAGCTCCTCCTCCATCTGGAAACAGTATAGGACACTTGAAGGTGATGCTTTGGTGCCACATTTCTTAATTTCAACATTTATACTGTTAGCATAGCATCTCTATAGGTTACAAAATGCTACATCACACTCCTTCACACTGCTTTTTTTAAAATATTTTTGTGTACCATTGCAATACACAGCAAGCAGGATTTTTTGAGTTTAAATTACTACCACTCGAAGTTATTCGAAATTATGCTAAAAAAAATGCAGTTTGCGAAACGAACCATTTGATAGCACATTCTTTTAACCAACTTTAAAGAGATTAAATTTTGTTAGTCAGGGTGAATGCAGCTCATTTATTACATTTTGGTCAGTATTTATGAATAATTTAACGTTGTTGTCGTCTGCCTGGCTCATGAAAAAACTAGGTTTGTGGTGCTCTCAATGTAGTACTGTGTTTTATTTTTAAAATATGAGCAGTTGTTATTTAATAGTTCCACCTACATTATTATTATCTTAAGAAAATTTTTTAAAAATACTAATGATATATGGATTAGTACAAATAATATTTATTTCAAGAATCCAATTTTCAAACCTGGACACTGAGGAAGGTTACAGGCCTTCTCTTGGTGAGAGCTTCCGAAACAAGGAGCTTTTACACACTGGCGATGGCGGGCTTTTGTGGCTGGACTTTGAGCATCAGTGCAGGTCTTCGAGCAGGAACTCCACAAGGACCAGGCAGAGAAGCCGGCGTCCTCATCTGAACAAGATAGATGGGGAAATATGGAGGAAAAGTGGAAAGATGAAGTCTACTGTCAAAGGAAACAAAGCGTCTTGGCAAAAACAGCACAAAACCCCCAACAATCATCAGATTTTTACTGACTTCTGTACAAGAAAAAAAAAGAGGAAAAACAACAAAGGCTTAGGTTCAAATTACCTGGTAAAAGTGGTTCTTGAGTTGGACCAATAATCACTGTGAAAACATTGAAATGTTTGTGAAATGTGAAAAATGTTTTAAATAAAAATAAAAATAAATTCTTTTCTCCCTTCTAATTTTCTGAAGCCCCATAGTGCCCCCTGGTGGCGGCCCTCCCCCATTCGAAAACCGCTGAGCTAGACAACAATCTGTACCTGGGCAGTCAGGTGCCTGACAGTAAGTGGTTTCCTGTCGTGGTCCCGGGCAATCTCTGCCTCCGTGAGCTGGGGCAGGTCGGGTGCATCCTCGAGATCGAGTTTTCAGACCCAGTCCTCCACAGGACAAAGAACAAGGGCTCCATGGTCCCCAGGGTGACAGGCCTCCATCAACAGGACAGTGCTCCAGGGAACAATTCCACCTCCCATGTTCGCAACCACTGGAGGGAGAAAGCAGGGAGAACTGTCAGGATGTGGGCTGGGACTGAGTCGATCGGAACGAGAGCCAAAGATTTTACACATATTGGAGGAGCCGCAAAACCTCCAAACGGCCACTGGGGGCAGTAAAAGACTATATGAAATGACGCTGGACAATAATAAAGTCACCATATGCTGCATTCATGAGCCACGATGTCTCCAGACTGCAGTTCCGTTCCCTCAGAGATGTTGTAGAGAGCAGACGACACCGGTGCGACAGAGACGCTCTGTAAAGACGCCAAAAACTCCCCGTCCACCAGACACGGACACTCCTGAGACACACAAAAAAATAGCATTTTTAGAAATGTGCATAATGGAACCCTATTGCGTTGTTATTGTTATTATAATAACATAAGCATCCACCTGCAGACAGAGGCCGTGGTGTTGGTAGGTGCGCAGAGGGCAGTGGCAGCCTTCCTCACAGGCATCTGAGAAACAGCCTTCTCTACCACTGATCTGAGCGCAGTTAAATGGGCAGCCTTCGGATCGTTCACATTCTCTATACAACCTTCCCGGTGGGCAGCCCACCTCTGCACAAGAGCAAAGAACAAATAGTCACAGTTGCTATAAAAAAAAAAAAATGTCGATGATGTTTTGCACAGCGAAGAGTTACTGGACTTACCAAGGAGTTGCTATAAAAAAAAATGTCGATGATGTTTTGGACAGCGAAGAGTTACTGGACTTACCAAGGCAGACCTGGGTGTTACATATCTTGCTCTGGCGAATGAGGCCGCTGCAGGGTGGAGAGCTGCAGAGACGGGAGCGGGACTGTTGTCCTCCTCCACAGCTTACGGAACACTTGGACCACTTGGACCACGGTAGCCAAGAGCCAACTGACTCTAAAAGGACAATGGTAGAGAAAAAAAAATTGGATTGTTGTTGTTGCTGGATACATTCATAGTTGTTTGTGTTTTTTTTGGCTGAGGTCATAGTTTTTTTGGGGATGCAAAGATGGACTCAGACCAGCCTCAGCTAGTTTTGGGCCAATAGACTGACTGACGGATTGTCCAATCAGATGATGTTCTGATTAACATTGTTGAGGACAAGTCAATTTTTGGTTACCGTAATAATTTTGTTCAATTTTCACAATTTTTACCTGCTATGTATTTTAGCAAAATAACAACATATGTTTTTTCATTTTTAGGAATGTTGATTTATTTAGCTTTATCACGATTAATTGTGAATAATCGTGATTAATCCTCGTACGTTTTTGCGTGTATATGAAGTTTATATATGAAGGTAAATACATCAACATATGAACTTTAGATGTTACTATTTGAATATTTAACCATCCCGTTGTCCTTCGCATTTTTGTACACATCCTTCGTCCTTGCAGTAAATTTTCATCCTGTCCCAGAATATGGGTATGAATGAATATGAGGAAATGTTGGCACAAGCTGTGCACACATACAGTATTCACACACACACACAAAGGTAGATTGGGTCTAGGTGAACCACCTTCACCTAGCAAGTGCCGTTGCAAAAATGGTTTAAAGTTTGAACCATGCACGGAGCGTCGATACGAACAGGAGAAAATTCATCAATCTTTAATGGAAGCAGATGGAGGAACAGGAGGAGCACAGACAGGAACCTACCACCTGGCTACTGGTGTTTATGGTTCTGTCCAAATTATCAAAGACAGTGAGTATGAAGGTGGTGGATCTGTGCTTACAGCCCAGCACTATTCTGCTCAATAGTGTCTGTACTGATACTGACACAAAGCTGGAGGGAGAGTTCCAAAGACACCGGAACACTATTTTGGCTCACAGGCCAAAAATAGGTTCAGAATTTGGTACAGTATTGGTTGGATGTAGAATGTTTGGGCAACACAATATACGAAAAAAAATGTACAAGATTAAACCTAAACCTTCGAAGAAAATTTGGTGCATGATGTCTGCCATCTGGTGGCAACGACTGAAATAACAGTCGATTTGTTGCGATGCATTAAACAGAAGGATAGACATCAGTTTTTACTAAGTATAATTATTAAAGTATAATATAACTTATATTATCGGCGATATTAGCTTTATTACGCAATATAGATAAAAATCGTTATAGGTTTTTCGTCCGATAAGGAAAACCCGATAACCTGGGTTTAACTTAGATGATGTGACCTAAACATAGTTTTGAAGTCCTCCAACGCAAATGGCTGCGTATGACAGTAACGGTCTGTACCTCACAACTTGGACAACATCAGCATATCGGATAACGGATAACGGCAAAAAGTTAATACCGGGCATCCCTAGTTTTTACTACACACTATCTGTGTAATTTAAATACAGATTAATGTCTGTTATATCTGGGTTATCATGACTTGATGGATGAACAAAGTCGAAAAAGCACCTGTACACCGGTGGATGTTGCAGTCTTTCTGTTGCTCGGCAGCTCCAAGGCAGCCTCTTCCACCGCTCTGAGGAGACGGATTATTGCACTGGCGTCTCCTAAACTGCACTCCTCGTCCACAAGGAAGTGAGCAATCACCCCAGGCTGCCCATTGACTCCAACCACCATCAACGTTGCACCCGGGAACTGATTCACACTGCAGAACTCCGGCCTCGCAGGAACTAAATAAAAGAGTGAAAACTGCATTCAATTTGATGAGTCACCTTCTCTGACAGGCTAGGGATTATAGTGATCGAGTCTCAAAGTGGCAGTTTATTGCTGGAACTTTTATGATGTGTTGATGTGAAAACTGTTGAATTGTCAATGACAATTTGTGGAAACATTTAATTTTTTTTTATGAATGGAAAATTAGTTAAAGAATCTTAAAGGAGCGGCTAAATGACGGGGCTAAAATAAGCTAATTATATTTATATTATTATATCACCCATTTAAACCAAAGTTACATTTAAAAACGTTCTTGTTTCCATAACGTGTGTTGGGTTTTATGGATTTTTTTCGTATGGATTTTACTCCAAAAGTGTAAATTTTTAGATGAAAAAAACAAATTAATTTGTGGTTTGGCTTAGAATGAAACTACAGACAAAGAAAAAAATAAATCAAATATAGAATTAAAAATTGCATTGTACCAATTTATGCAGTCACTGATGATACTATCTCCTGGATTTGCAAACTGCCAGTCCGCTCCACCAGGCCACGCCCATGAAGCGTTACTGGAGTCTAGGCCTCCTTAGATTAAACAGAAGAGAAAGGTGATAGGCAGAGACAAAAATGTCACAATTAGGATCATCTCTTATGTTTTAGAGTTTTGGTCTAACCAGTAGCGGAGCTGTTGTGGTATTTGCAGCGACACTCATCCCTGGTTACACACACTCCATCCTGCAGGACCATGTCACCGGGACAGCCGCAAGTCCGGCTGCACACGGAGGAGTCCAGACACATGGTGTCACCGTAGAGATCCGAACAGGACCGTGGACAGGGCTTCCCACAGGCCCATTCCACCTGGCCTCCTTCGCAGTCTTTAAGTAGAGCAGAATTAGATACACATGTTAGAGAAAATGAACTTAAAAGATCACAAGAAATTGTGTTCGGTACGTTCACATCACGTTTTCGTTATGTTCCGAACCCACAGTTCCAACACACTGTCTGGCCCAAGGAGCATAAAGGTTTTTCAGTAGGGGTGCATGATAATTATAACATACTAAGATGTAATTGCGGGCCACATGTGGGTAGTCGGAGGCCCCGAGAGTTGCCTGTGAGCCAGGGGTTTTGAACCCCGGCTCGAGGAGGAACAGGAAAGTTTCGTTTAAAGCCATACTTTAACACTTTCCCTGCAAAAGCCTGTCATTTATACCGAACAGCATGTGATCCCATTGTTTTCCTGTACTGACCTGAACAGACGGTGATGTTGTCATGGCAACCACGGCTCTGTCTGCTCTCCCCAAGGCAGGGCAGACCGCCGAACATGGCAGGAGGGCTATTGCATTCTCTGGTGCGTGTGGAGGAACCGGCACAGCCATCGCAGTCTGACCAGACTGACCATGGACTCCATGAACCATGGACTACAGAGTCAGAAGGAAGGAAGATAAAAATAAAATAAGGGAACCAGGGAAAATAAACTGCAACGGGGAAGACAGATGTTTTGCTGTAAGCTGAAACAGAGGAACAGATGTTTTGCTGTAAGCTGAAACAGACTAACGAACCACACTACACTCGCACTATTACGATTTACTAAAGCAGCGATCAGCAACTGGCAGCCGACTTTTTGATTTGGACATATATTTTGTTATATGTGTGCTATTTGAGTGTCAAGAAAAATTCAACTATATTTGTAGTACAAAATTCAAATAACTGGGACCAAAAATTTTCTATCTCTATATTTTTATATTTATATATTTTTATATTTATATATTTTATATATATATATTATATTATATTTGATTCACTTACTGAAAATAATTGATTAGTGCTGCACTGTTATCCCTGATTCACCCTGCTTAGTGATTAAAAAATACATAATAAAAAATACATAGGTATGTAACCTTTATGTATTAACTAATGTATGTTATATATTGTACTGTATTTCAGGTTAAACTGAAACACTTCACTTCTAGGGCTGTTTTACCTGGACAGAAAGAAATGACAGGACAAGGCTGTCTCTGGATTTGAACGCCAACCGCGTTGTGCATTTCCTGTTCTCCAGAGCAGGTTGCTCCTCCGCCCGTGGGTTCAGGACAGCTACAGCTCCGGTAGCGGGACACTGACTCAGCCCCACATGTCCTGGAGCAGGGAGTCCACTCGGACCACTCGCACCAGCCACCTGACACTGAAAATACATGTGTAACTGTAAAGTGTCTCTTTGCACAGTGTAACATTTTTTTATTGTTACTTATTATTACCATTCACTTGATAGAAACTCCAATGATCACTATGGTATGGTATTATATATATTGATGTTAATATAAATACATATATATAAACATATAACATATAATATATAAACCATTTTAATAGTATATTCAATGTATTTTAAACTGAATATTACTATATATATTAAGCAAATATAATGATTCTGTGTTTATATTCGTGACTTACCTGGACAGGTCTGTCTGGTGCAGTTCAACCTCCCACTCTCACATGTGCTGAAACATGAATTACAACAAAATTACTTCTTCTGCTTTGGCATTTTTCTGTAAATGTTTTGACCTGCGTCCGTGTATAAGACCGAACTGACCAGTTGTTGCATCCGTCCTGGGATTCTACGCTCTCTCCTGGTTCTAGCCATTGTCCAGTGCTGAGGTCCAGACAGGGACAGTCTTCTCTCTCTACACACACTGTCCCATTGGCGGACAGGACCTTTCCCTCCGTGCAGTAGCAGCCGGGCTCGCACTGCCACTCGCAGTGCTGACAGACACAAGCAGGACATCACCGGAGTATTGATTTCAGTAATAATTCATAAAGAAATGTTAACGTGTTTCGAGAGTCCCACTCACTGCCAGATCATCGCAGGATCGAGGACATGACGGACCACAGCTGCTGAACGCTGTGCCTGGGACCTTAGAACATGGAGCGACTGAGACAAAAACGTGGAATGTCACCATGTGTATAATGACAAGTCAAAGTTAGGCACCACAAGAGCACATCTACAGTTTAAAGAGTGTATAAAAATGACCTGGACAGTGGTTCGTGTTGCAGGTGATAACCTCGGTTCCAAGACCCTCACAGTAATTTCCCTCCCCCTCTGGACTTGGACTGTCACAGTGTCTGCGCCGACTCTGAATGCCCCCGCCACATGACTTGGTGCATTCAGTCCAGTTACTCCACTGACCCCACCCACCATCACCTGTACAGGGTGAAAAGATTATGACATAAAAAATATTAATTTATTAAGAATGTTAACCATATCCATAATTAAATATTAATAAAAATAATATTTTATTGTGAAAAAATAATTATAGGGTTTAGTTTCTCAGATATGAGTATTTTCTGGCTGAAAAAAATTTTTTTTATGTAACTTGTAAACAATATACAAAGATAATATATGAAGACATAATGCTATTAAAATACAATACAAAAAAAACCTCTTCTGTTGTCTTCTAAAATGCAAACACCAATTCTGATTTGTTTCTCAAAACAAGCTTAAAAACAAAAGCATATCAAATATTTATATAATATTATAATGAAAAAGTAACGTGGTTTTGAATTTTCACAGAATGTTTATATTAGCTAATAATTTAAATAAAAAATAAAAAATAATAAAATGATGATATTGTTTCAATTGTTAATGATATTGTTTAAATTATTATTTTTAATTTTATTTTTATGTTTTTTTAATATTCTAGCCTTGATATGCTGTTACTAGTTACTACCAATAGATAGCAGTGTAGTACACAGTTCTAAAATGTTGCCAAACTTTCATACATAATTTAAAATAGAAGAATGAAAAAAAGGACACACAATACACTTACGGTCACATGGCACGTTGATGCAGACCTGGTCCTCTCTGTGGGGTCCTAGACATGGCAAGTCGCTCCCAGAGCGCCGGGGACTTGAACAGAACCGGTATCGAGACTGGAGGCCTGCTCCACACGACACAGAACACTGACCCCAGGGAGTCCACACGGACCATTGGCCGACAGCTGCAGGGACCAATAGGTAATAGTGATTCACCATTTAAAAAAAAAAAAACAAAAACAGATCAATATTCAATAATCAATAAAAGATATGTTCTTCCTACCGCTGCAGCTGTTCTCAGAGCAATTCACCAGCTTCCCTGCTCTGCATGTACTAAATAAAAGACACCGACATGTATTTCAAATAAATCTTACTTTTTTTATCTTACAGTCACATCAACTTTCTCACTGTTAGATACCAGTTATTGCAGTCTGTAGGGACAACGTCTCCTGGTTGGAATTGCCGTCCCCCCACGTTGCAGCGACAGTCAGACTCTTGCACACACACACCGTCCTGGGGGTTGGGAGAACGATGAACGATCAGAACGGTAAGAACAGATACTATCTCTTAGTTGAGGAGTGAGCGCAGGTTTTTTACACACCTGTTGCACTCTGCCTTGCGGACACTGGCAACCTGGTGTGCAGTTCCTGCTTAGGTCCATGCTGACGTCAGTACAGGACACAGCACCAATCACACACCGACTCCACTGCTGACCCGGAGGACAAGCCTGGCTGTCACCTGAAGTAAAAAATAAATAAATAAATAAATAATCAAAGTAAAAGTATCAAGTGTAATCCAGTGATCGAAACTGTGTGCGTGGTGTTCGGTTTACCACAGGGCTGAAGATTGCAGGCGCTGAACTGTTGTGCCGTGCCGTGAACCCGAATGGGCCCGCGGGTTCGAGACCTGTATCCTCCGCCACACGTCACCGAGCACTCTGACCATGTGGTCCACGGCCCCTTCACACCTGGGAGACAAAGTCTATCTAATGATATCTGACAACAGTTCAGTACGTACCGCAGTACTGCCGTCACGGTACATTCTCGGCACAAAAAGATATCACAAATGTGATATCACAAAAGAAACTGACAATTTATATACATATATAACTATACATATATTTATATACATATATATTGCATATATAAAATATATAGTCATTAGGGGTGCAAGAAACTATAAATACACCAATGTATTGCAATATTTTGTTTCACGATACAGTATCGATTTTCTACGGCACTGTATCCTTTTTCTTTAAAAAAAAAACACTGGTTCATTTGATTTAGCTTGTCTAGCGATTACAAATGTAGACCCCTCTGTTGCAAGTTTAGCAACCTGATGTTAAGCAGTATGTCGCGATATATCTATCGTCACCCCCAACTCATGATATATTACTCATATACTCATATTGCCAGATTCTAGCCAATACACAGCCTTAATATTCATATATATAT